ATTCGTATTTTGGAGCCCGACTCCCAACCGACGGCGCGTGCGATTCGCCGACGCGCCATAGACTGCACCAGCCAGCCACCCACCCAGGGGTGGACGGCTACCTGAGGCAGGGAACAGCTGCACCCCGCAGCGGCGACACCAGCGTAATATTTGGTCAAATCCGATCCCTTCTTTCGTTCCCCCCGCCGCGTGGACCGTCGGCTCGTGACACGGGTCGGGCCCACTCCTGGATATCGCCGCCTCGACGCACCCGTGCGGAGTCCTTGCCACCCCCCCCCCGCATGCCCCACGCATCCGAGGACTTCTTCCCTCCTCTCCTCCTCCTCCTCCTTCCTCTACAATTACTAAATATGAATACTATTCTCCCTCTTCCCCTGATGACGTCTTGGGAATATTCGCCCCCCCCCGCGTACTGTTTTTTACACAGGTTTCCCCGGAGTTGGGTTTTCGCCTGCATTTTTTTCCAAAATGCTGCTCTCGCTGAGGCGCCGGCCTCATTTTCGGGCCCCGCTCGTTCCGAATCGTGCTCCCGCTGCAGCGCTGGCATCATTTCCGCCGGCGCCCGGGCTGCACGCCCGAGCCGGCGCCCGGGCCGGCGCCCGGGCCGGGTCCGGAGCCGGTTCCGGCCGGCGCCGGAAAATCGAGTTCCGAGGCGGCGCCGAAAAAGGCCATTCTAATACACATTTTTCTTTTGAAAATGCTGAATTTCTTCTTCCGGCGCCCGGGAGGCCTCCCGGGCCGATTCCGACGCCCAGGCCGGCGCCCGAGCCGGCGCCCGGGCCGGACGCCCGAGCCGGCGCCCGGGCCGGCGCCCGGGCCGGCGCCCGGAGCCGGTTCCGGCCGCGCCGGAAAATCGAGTTCCGAGGCGGCGCCGAAAAAGGCCATTCCAATACAATTTTTTCTTTTGAAAATGCTGAATTTCTGCTTCTGGCGCCCGGGAAGCCTTCCCCGGAGTTAGGTTTTCGCTTGCAATTTTTCCCAAAATGCTGCTCTCGCTGAGGCGCCGGCCTCATTTTCGGGCCCCGCTCGTTCCGAATCGTGCTCCCGCTGCAGCGCTGGCCTCATTTCCGTGCTTCCGCTCGTTCCGAATCGTGCTCCCGCTGCAGCGCTGGCCTCATTTCCGCGCTTCCGCTCGTTTCGACTCGTGCTCCCGCTGCAGCGCTGGCGTCATTTCCCGTGCCATGCCACGGCATGCAATGCAATGCCAGGTTGATACTACGCTTCGCGGTGCTCTTCTACGCCATGCCATGCCGTGCTCTACAATGCATCGCGTACCCTTTCGGGATCATCGCCCTGCTTGACATCCGACTGTGCGAGTAGAGAGGGGATCTGCGCCATGGTAAGGGATGGGAGGGAGGGGTAGGATGTCAGATATGACGCGAGCGCACCTAGCTTGTCCTCCTCCCCCTCCCCCTCCTCCTCCTCCTCCTCCTCCTCCTCCTCCTCCACCTCCTCCTCTCCGCGCCACCACAGCCGACGGCAGCACCCCTTGGGGGTCGTCAGCTTCCGCAGCCGTGTGCCTGGGCGCCAGCGTTGTCGACGCGGCCCTTCGGGCATTGAGGCCAGGCTTGCGCCCGCCAGGTTTGGGCCTGAGGTTGTTTTCGCTAGCCACGTTTTACTACAGGGAGGTCTGTCCATCCCCGAAAGAGTGGGAGTGCGCCGACTTGGGTATGTGGTAACAAATTGAGGCTGCTGCCAGTACGGACCTTCCCCTTTCCCTCTCCCGCTCCTCCTGCCTCCCCTCCCGGCGGGCGAACGGGGCCCGCTGGCCCCCGCCTCAGCCGCCGCGTGTTCGTCCGTCGGACGCGCGCGCCTCGCCTCGTACCCTCGTACCCAGAAAGTGAGGGCATGAGAGGTTGGGGGGCAGAAGTTCTGGGAGGAGAACAGCGACAGACCAGTACTCACCTCAGGGACGTCCCCGCGGCCCGACTCGCCTGCGCCCCCCTCTCTTTTCCGACTCCGCCCTCTTTTGTCTTCGGGAGCGCTGCGTGGGCCTTTCTGGGCTTGGGGGTCCCCCTTGCCTTTTCCTCTCGCCTCGCTCCGTCGTGCTTTGTTGCGCCTTCCAACCCTCCCTGCGCTCCTCCTCTCTTTTTGTTCTCGTGTTGCTCCCCCTCGTGCCGTCCCCTGGTCGGTTCCCCTCCGCCCTCCCCCCCCCTGTCATCTGGCGGCCACATGCGGCCCGTGTTGATATCCCCCCCCAGTCCGCTAAAGCCTTGCGGCGCTGGGGGGTCAAGGGGGTTCTAGGCTCCGACGAGCCAGAACAGCCCGCAGGTGCAGGCGCAGGAGGAGGAGGAGAAGGAGGAGGAGGAGGAGAAGGAGGAGGAGAAGGCGGAGGAGGAGGAGGAGGAGGAGGAGGAGGAGGAGGAGGAGGAGGAGGTGGAGGAGGAGCAGAAGGAGGAGGAGGAGGAGGAGGAGGAGGAGGAGGGAGGAGGAAGAGGAAAAGGAGGACGAGGAGGAGGAGGCGGGAGTGGAGGAGGACGAGGAAGAGGAGGAATCTGATGGCGATGTGTATCAGTTCGAAGAGCTCCCCGTTGCTACTCTCCTCGATCTCCCCCCCGCCCCTCGCTCTCAGGCGTGAAGATGGTTAGGGCGCCGCCCGGCATAGAGGGCGGCCACATGACTGGCCGGAAGGCTGGTTGGGGGGGGTGGGCAGGACGAGGTGGGAGGAAGGGTGACAAAAGATGCCACAGACATGGAAGCTCGGAGGTGCGCGCGGATTCCTCGGATCGGCGCTAGTGTCCCCTGGCGGCGTTTCTGGCACCGCCTTGAGGGCATTTTCCTTGCCCGTGGACTGTAAGTCACGAGTAGGGATGAGCAGCTGGTCCAGGGGGAGCGGGTGCCGCTTCACGTGGGACTGGGGGCCCTAAGCCAGGGTGGAACCTGGCAAAATGACGAACGAACAACACACACCCATACCCATAGGGAGGTCGTTGGGATGAGGACTGGCGATGGGTATGGATGCGGGTTGTCGGACCCTGGGGAGCGCTCCCGCTCGAGCGGGGGCCCCCATCCGACAACGCACCCATAGCCCTCTCCGATCCCCCTATGAGTATGGGTGCGTGTTGTTGGTTCGTCACAAGAGGAGGGCATCTTGGATCCCGCCCCACCTGGGCGACGCAAAAAAAAAACGGGATCGTCTGCGCCGACACTCGCGCGTAAGCTGCCCGCGCAAGGGTGCGCGTCGGCGCCCTCGTCTCCCGCGTGGCGCGCTGCGCGGGCGGCCCGCGGAAGCCGCCGCGTGAGGTCGCTGCGTCATCTCGCCCAAGCCCGACGATCCGAGGCGGGCTGGGGTGCCCGCGCGGCGCTGGCTTGCCCCCTGGCGCGGCCGATCTGATGATATTTTCTGCGCTTGCCGATGCAGCCCGGTCCGACGCACGTTTCGATCGAGGACGTAACCAGTGATCGTTTTTGTTATGTTCCTTGTTTTGCCGATCGGCGCGGGCCCCTCCCCCCCCCTGGAGTAGATCTTGGCTGTTGTTGTCGCCTGTTACGAGCGGGTGGAGCCTCCCCCAAGGGACGCGCTGGTGCAGACAGTCGCACTAAGCAGAGGTCTGGAGCCAGACCTCCCCCCTCCCCCCCTCCCCTTCCGCCCAATGTCAAAACGCTGAATAAGAAAAGGCTCACCAATTGCACAAACATGCAGTCAATGCGGCTAGCCAGAACGCGCACCTTCATCCTGCGTACCCTTGTGTCCTTACCTCTGCGGCCCGTCCTGCGCCGTTTTCACTGGTCGCCCGCCGCCCCAAAAGTCTCAACTTCGGCCTGCAGGGGTCACGTTTTGACTGTACACTTTCGGAGCTCCGCGCGGATTTCCTGAATCGGCGCTGGGCCCGCTTGGCGGCGTCTCCGGCGCCGACCCTGGCTTGCTCCGACGGGTGGCCGACGCGGATCCAAGAAATCTGCGCGGACTTCTGAGAGTTTCTGTTTATGCAAGGGGATCTTCTAGAGTCGATTTCCCGACTCGATGCTGCCATATCTTGCCATTGCTCGGGTCGGACGAAAGCAGATAGTGACGTTACGTTGGTCGGCCGAAAATCAGGACCTCCAACGCCTTGGAAAAATCAAGGCGTGTTCCTGTTCTTGCCGTTTTCGGCGTCGGGGGCCAGTCTCGTGGTCCAGAGCTGGCAGTCAACCACTCAGGATGACAAGTTGGCCCTGGGGCAAGGTCGGGGGTTGTTTCCGGTGCCCCTGGCCGAAGGTGCCCCCCAGGATTTCCACGGAGGGCCCCACGGCCTCCAGAGCACCCCTTCACGAGGCTCAGAGGTCCCCTGGGGGCTCCAACATTGAGCGAGAAGCTGAGGGCACCTCGGGCCAGGGGCACCTTTGGCAACACCCGACAAGAGTCGGGACTTCGTGTGGGGATCGAGACGTCGGTTGTCTGGGAAGGAGGGGATTCAAAAGGGGAGTGGCGAAAGCTGCTGCATGCAGCCCGTTTCGGCCCCGATGCTGGGCGCTTGTCCTCGCAGAACCTTGGCGCCTTCGGCGCTGGTAGGCGCGCAGGAGAGACGAGTTCGTGACGTGAGCTGATTCGCGAAGCCCCCTTTGGTATCCCCCCGTTCGTCCGCCCCCTTGGCATCGCTCGGACGTGTGCATTTTTTTTCGTGGCGAGGACCGTCGAGTAGCATTTTGGCTCATCCGACGAAACAAAGAACGCGCGACATCGAAGAATGCACGGGGAACGGACGTCCGAGCGATGGCAGGCCCCGACATTGCACTGCAAGGGGGCACGCAATTTGTGAGAGGCGCTGTGCGAATGCGAGAAGATGCGAGCGCGTTTGTGAGGAGCAGTGGTGAATTCGACCAAGAGGCTAACGACACCATCCCACCTGAGTGCGGCCCTCCATGTTGCGCTACGGCCCATGGAGGGGCCGTAGCGTACACCACGCAAAAGCCAACGCCCACGCCAGGTTTGCCCGTATACGCTCGGCCCCGTGGGGCCGGATGTGGAGTGGTGTCGTTTGCTTTCGTCGAGGGGGACGGGGCCTGGACCTTCTCTCGCTGTGAACAGGCGCAGCGGAAACGGAAGGTGCTCGCGAATTGTTGGCTTCCCAGGGGCCCCGACAGGGCCCTTGGACCGCTTCGGCCACGCGCAGAGGGGGAAGGCTTCTCAGAAGCACCCCTGCTCCTTAGAGGGCGCGGGCCTCGTCTGTAGACGTAAGAGGCCCGCGCCTTCTCAGAAGCAAGCTCCTCCGAAGAAGCCTTCCCGCCCCTCCCTACCCCCTTCTGTGCGCCGCCAACTGTCTGACAGCGACTCAGGAGGAACACCGATCCCCGGAAAGGGGTCCAGACCTCCAGGGGAGGAGGATGAGGAGGAGGAGGAGGAGGAGGAGGAGGAGGAGGACATATTCAAGACGTCGGCAGTCTGTGGAGCAGGTTGCCAGGAAAGCCCAGGACGAGGAGACTCGCCCCAGAGCGATCCCGAACTCTCTGAGAGTGTTCGGAGCTCTCGTGGACTGGCCGCGGCGCCCGATACGTTCTCTAGACTCGCTGGATCTCAGAGATTCCCGTTCTATCCTCATCGGGGTCATCCTCATCCTGCTTTCGTCTTATCCAGACCTCCAGTGGTCCATTTTATGAACGCATCACGACGTCGGAGAGTTGGCGGCGCCCAAGGGGCTTGGGCGTCCAAGAAGGTGGGGGGCTTCTCAGAAGGCAGGGGCCTTTGTGGAAGCGTCTGGCTGCTTCTGAGAAGGCTTTCTGGAAGCCAGGAGGTCGTCTAAGAAGCCGCCTGCCTTCTAAGGCTTCCCCGAAGTCGGGTCGGTTCCTCTACAGGAGGAACATTCACAAATAGTTAAAACATAGTATGAGGACGATTTCTTTCGTATTGGTTTGATGATTTCTGAGCATGTTTTGAGTATTTTTTATTTTTCGTCCCACATCCGCCTGTAGGGGGACATGCCCGACTTCAATCTAAGGCTGCCCCCCTCGCGCTGCCCACCGTGTGGGCGCCGCCCGCGGACGTCCGGGGAGCAGGACGAGCAGGGGAGCGGGGTCGTTTCTCGAGCGTTCCAACGCTTGGGGGCTGCAGGACGGCGCTGCGAGCGGAGAGGGGGAAGTGGAGAGAGGAGGGAGAGAGCCGGATCGGATCCACTCGGCCGGTCGGCGCCTCCAGGGCCACGGCGCCGTCTGGGGCCCCGGAAGGGGGCCACGAGGATGGAGAGCAGTGCTCAGTGCTCTCACAACAGTCTCGGCAGTCCTTGAGCCGCCCTGCCTGGCAGCGTGAAGGAGTGAGGAGGGGGGGCGAGGATGCGGTAGGAGGGCAGGAGGAGCAGCTTCGGGAGGGCGGAGAATGGTTGAGGAGAGGAATGAGTGGATCCAAAGATGGTGGTGGAGGGGTCAGTGGGGGAGCACGATGAGCTGGAGTAGAGGAGGAAGCGGGGGAAGGGGTAGTATGAGGAGGTGAAGGACGAAGAGGACGGGAGGATGGGAGTGGATGGGACGGGATGGGAGATGGGAGGGCTTGGACAGGTAAGGAAAGACAGGGGCCGACGTTGAGGGGATGATGATGATGATGATGATGCTGATGATGATGGAATGATGATGCTGATGCTGATGATGCTGATGATGATGGTCATGATGATGGTCATGATGATGATGATGATGATGATGATGATGATGATGATGCTGATGATGATGATGATGATGATAACGACGATGATGATGCTGATGATGTTGCTGCTGATGGTAATGATGATTATGATGATGATTATGAGGAGGCGGCTGATGATGATGCTTATGGTGATGATGGTGATGCCGAGGATTATGGTGATGCTTATGATGGTGACGATGACGATTGCGACGATGACGATGAGGATGACACTGTGGATGAGGATGATCGGGATGAGGAGGAGGAGGAGGATACCAACGATGCCAACGGTGACGATGAAGCCGCTGCTGATGATTTTGGTGCTGATTCAGGTGCCGATTGCTGATGCTGCTGATGCTGCTTATGATGCTGCCGTTGACTTGTTGATGTTGTGAGTGATGATGACGGGGATCACGATGATGATCAGGTTCATGACGCTGTTGCTTACGATGCATACGGCGATGCTGATGACGATGATGACGGTGGTGGTGATGACGATGCTGATGGTGACGAGTCTGCTGATGATGCTGCTGATGATGCTGACGCTGATGCTGATGATAATGCTGAAGATGGCGACAATGACGACGACGATGCTGAGGTTGATGCTGATGCTGATGCGGGATGATCATGTGGATCATGCAGATGATTACGCAGCTCGTGGTGTTGATGGTTTTGTTGATGATGATTATGATGCAGATGACGATGATGCTGGTGATGCTGCTGTTCATGATCGTAATGCAGGTGATACAGATGATGCAGATGATGCTGATGATGACGATGCTGATGATGACTATGATGATGATGACGATGATGATGCTGATGCCAGCGATTACGGTGATGCCGAGGACGCTGATGCTGCTGATGATGTTGATGATGACGATGAGTATGATTCTGTTGATGATTTTGATGACGAT